CAAAACAAGAACTACGATGTTGGATAAAAATTGAATGTGCCAGAGGTCGTACAGCACGACAGTGTCATCAAGGTCTTCAAGAGGCTTGCGGGGAATCTGCATTGCCTTACAGAACCGTAGCAAGATGGGTGAAAGCATTCAATGAAGGGCGCCAAAATGTGACAGACATGCTGCGGCCGGGTCGTCCGAGTGTCAGCGATGCAGACGTGCAAGCTGTTGCCGCCCTAATGGACAGTGATCGCCGCCAAACGATTCGTCAGCTGGCCGGACAAACAGGATTAGCGCATACGACTGTGCTGCACATTCTGAAGGAAAGCCTGTCCATGAGAAAAATTGCTCCACGATGGGTTCCACATTAATTGACGGAAATGCAGAAATGGCTACGATACCATGCTGCCCGAACCCACCTGGAGCGCTATGAGCGCGAAGGAGATGCTTTTTTACGAAGTATCAGTACGCTTGATGAGACTTGGGCCCGATCGTACCAGCCAGAACTGAAACGCCAATCAAACGAATGGTGTCATCACGGGTCACCACGACGTTCGAAATTTCGTCAGAACCCCAGCAGTGTGAAAGTTATAGTGATACTCGTGTACGACTGTGATGGTGTTATCCTAACGCATACCGTTCCCCTAAAGCAGACCGTCACTGCGCAGTATTAATGCTCATTTTTGGAGCACAATCTCCGACCAGCTTTGAGAAAAAAACGGCGAAACTTTCTGCAGAACGCTCCTCTCATTTTGCATGACAATGCTCGGCCGCATGCAGCGCAAGCTGTGACTGATTTGTTAGAGCGATGGGCTGGGAAGTGCTTTACCATCCACTATACTCCCCAGATCTAAGCCATTGTGACTATGACTTAATTCCTAAGATGAAGGAACCACTTCGTGTCACTCGCTTCCAAACTGTTCCTGAGATTCTTGAGGCAGTAGACCGGTCCATTCAAACTATCAATAAAACAAGTGCTGCTACAGGTATTCTGCGACTTCCACATCGTTGGAAACGGGTTGTACACAATGCTGGCGACTATATTGAAGGACTGTAAAACATGGTGACATGAATCACTTTTATTCCTTGTAAATAAATAGTTGCCACTATTAAAGTTCCAACCCTCGTATTTTCGTGGAGCTACAGCTCCTGGTAAATTTTTAGCAAGATCACTGCAATGTTTCTACCTACTACTATTGTTTCATATCTTTTTGCAGCATTATGCGCAAAAGTTTTTAAGACCAAATAGGTCTTACGTCAAATTACTTGTTAGCTTTACATTTTCTTTTTCAATTAATATTCTTTTTAGCAGCCTCGAGCGCTAAAAGTTTCAATAAGTTTGATCGTTTAGGTGTATTTCAATTTCACATTTCAAGCTTTAGCTTTTAAGTTACCGGATACCGTTTACAGTTCCACTTTCACACTAGGTTAGTCTTCCTTCCAAAAAACACTGTAAAGCAGGCTAACTCCCTCTTTACTTTCATTCACAGGCTCAGATCAATTATATAGAGATAATTAAATGAAGCAACATGCTTCGAAAAACTTGTAAGGCTAATGCTACTCCACTTCCTACCAAAACTAATAAGACACAATCACTATGAAAGACTCACAATTGTATCTACCAAATCACCTGTAAAGAATATACTCTCACATATATAGGTCAAACAAAAAAACCCTCTCATCCTCAGAATTAATAACCATAGATCATCATAAAAAATTTAAAAAAAGCACAGCAAATCTCACAAAAATAATCAGCATACAGCATAATTTGATAACATAGAAATTACTACCGAATAAACTCAGACTATTTAAGGAACAATACACATACTTCAAAAAAAGTCACTTTATCCTTACGGACTAAATGCATATCTGAGTCATACCACCAATAGACAGACAGAAGTCTCAATATTTGGACAATTCAGATTTTTTAGCAATATAACGACCAGAGGTACCAGAGCAGGTGATTCCAAACAACAAAAAATTTTTTCTACACAAGATATGAAATTAATAATTAAAAATCTTCATTCCTTCCTTGAACATAATGAATTTGCTAAGAATGCCATTAAACTACTACATACATTTAAGAATGCTACTTTGTGGAATCTGATTAAAGTAATGGATCAAAATTTTCACTGTTTACAAATCATAAGACCTAATTATTGACTTCTGCAATTTTAAACTAAAATATAGCAATTTTTTTCACAAAAAACTGTTTTGTACGGTACAATTCAAACACCCTTCTTACGATCAACTAAAAATACCTAGCATTTTAAAAAAAATATCAACACTTGCTTCCTGAACAACAACTACAAATCAAGCCCTGCTTTAAATTTGAAAAGAACTTAGGTCAACTCGTTATCAACCACCACGATATACAAGAAAATAGCATGTGTAATTGCCAACTACCTCTTTACCAAAAATATGTCGATCCTTTCCACCAACATGTTATAACAGGAGATCTTAACATCATTAAAGACTTGGAATTGCGAGCCCTTTTACAACTTGGAACCAAATTTTGTCCTAATTTTAGTATCAACAAACATTTTTGCCTCAAACAATTCAATCAAGATCTTGATAAATTTATCATCTTAGTTAGTAATAAATCCAATTTACCTACTACGACTTTTCTTGAATGGAAAGCTGCACTGATTAAAGAATTTCAACATTTACTTTTCAAGACACCTTCTTTCAACTCTCTACACAATAAGAAACGACTCTATGATCAAATCAAAAGACTGCAATATAATTTTATCATTACTAAAATTGACAAAGCTAGCAACAATTTTAGTGTTATTTGAAAAAAGTTTTACTTCGACCTTCTGCACAAAGAACTCAATAGTAATGGCACTTACCAAAAAATTACCACCAACACCAAAATTCTTATCAATAAATTTAACGCACTACATAAAAGACTAGAAGATGCATCCACGGAACTATAATAACAGATTTGCTAATCTCTATGCCCTTCCAAAATTTCATAAGTCTCCTATTAAATTCAGGTTCATTGTCAATAGTACCAAAAGTTACCTTAAAGAAATAGATTATCTTTTTGCAAAAAAAACTTCGTTTAATACGTGACTTGATTAATAACTATGATTTTCAAGATCTGCATTGCAACTGGATGATTTCAAGTAACGAACTCATAATTAAGACAATTAATTCAATTCAAATAGACCATATACAATGCTATGATTTCGAAAACCTTTTATACTACCTTACAACTTGAAGAGTTTTATACCAGCTTACTTGCTCTACCAGATATAATTCCACAGATTTCGACAATAATTGATAACGAAAAATGGCAACTTTATCTTACGAGCGTGCTTTTCAATAATTTTATTCTCTTTAACAATAGCATCTTCAAACAAATTCAAGGAATCCCAATGGGCGGAACTTTTTCGAGCGCTTTGTGCGAATTATTCCTTTTCACAAGAGAACTGACCTTTGTCCGTTCACTAAACAAAGAAGAACATAAATTTTACCAACACATATATCGTTACATAGATATCATAGCCTCTAACAACCATAACAAAATAGAAGCAGCTAATATCTACCCAACTAGCTTAAAACTAAATAAAACAAACACGGTGCAAAATAATGTAGTATACCTTATATCTAGAAAGGATATTTACAGAAACAACTTTTTAAATACCTCGTATAATTAGATAAAATCAAATTTTTCAAAGCAAAAATTCCTCTTTATAGCAACACAGATTAATTTTTAACTGAAAAATTACAATGCTTATCTTTTCCGTACGGGAATCTTATTAATGAGAACTGCGTTATATACCCAGACAAGGACTGAACAGGCTATGTACACTGGCAAGGCAACTGAGCTAGCTGCACTGCACAACTATTTTAAATATTACTATGATCACTAATTTACCACAAAATAAAAGCTTTTTAAATTACATGTCACACTGTAATCCTGAAGATAACTGTTTACAACTGCATATTATAATAAATTTATATTATTAAATACAAATAATTAAATTCCCTCTAATGAATACTATATATACACTGACTACCAATAAGTATTTGGACACTTGTGATAGAAAAGAAAAACTAACTTTATTCAAAATCAATAGTTGGTAGAGCCTCCAGGAGAAGTAATTACAGCGTGGACCCTCCGGGGCATACTTTCCACAAGTCTTTGTATGACAGCTAGTGGTATTTTCTTCCACTCGGCTTGGAGAAGACATAGAAGTTCCTTCACCGATTTTGCACGAGTAGTGCACCCCTGAATTCGGCGATGAAACTCGTCCCAGAGGTTCTCGATAGGGTTCAGGTCTGGACTCTGGGCAGGCCAGTCCATTCGATGAACTTCATTGGCACCATACCAAGCCTTGGTTAACGTCGAAACATGATAATTGGGATTGTCGTCCTGAAAGTAACAGGGGTCCAACCCGTAAAACTGCCACAACGTAGGAAGCACATTGTCATCCAAAATAGTGCAGTAGGCATCGGAGTTGAGCTTACCATGAATGGGGACTTCCGAATTTCTCTGGACAGCACTCGTCGGTCTCTATCTCCCAGTTTCGTTGGTCTGCCGACGAACGAACGACGACGTTCGTTGGTCTGCCGTCGGTCTCTATCTCCCAGTTTCGTTGGTCTGCCGACGTCGGGACACAGTCCGACAATCACCGCTCACCTTCCACTTCTTAATCACATAGGCCACTGTCGATTTTGGGTACTTCAGATCGCTAGATATGTCCTTTAAGTATCGGCCACATTTGTGATACCCGATAATTATACCTGCGAAGCATATCCTCCTCCAAACTGCGAGGCATCTTGCATGCGACTAAAGACGATGCTGTTTCCTACACGATATATACCGGCAGAGTACGTGACGTACCTTAATACTGCAGATATCGTCATTTGCATCGGTGTCCAAATACTTATTGGTAGTCAGTGTACACACATAATTTAACATAATACACTGCTTTAAGACGTCAAATTGCCCCTTTTCGAATACTGCTCAACCAGATATATAATGACGAGTTTTAAAAAAAGACTTCTTTTAATATTTTTTATTGAATTCTTGATTAAATCAAAGTCTTATTGCAAAATACAGATCATATAACAAAATCAAATGGGCCATTTCAGTCTATAACAGATATTAAAAATAAGAAATATATCTGAAGTGGATATAATACCATGTTGCACGCACAGGAACAGTATAACATAAATGGAAAATCAAAATTTGCTTGATAAACTTGAGATGGCCATCGGATGAACTAAAAAATGGCGTTTCCAATCAGATTTGGTACAAAATTGACGTAAGCAAATTTTACACTGGTACGGTTTTTTACCAGTATGAGAATGCATATGTCTGTTTAAGGAAACTTTATGATTAAAAGCTTTTCTACATAAATTACAAACAAATGGCCGTTCTTGAGTGTGAACTCTCATGTGTGCTTTCCAATTTGAACTTTTGTATGATGAATATGAACAGAAGGAACAATGAAATCTTTTCAGAGGATACCGTTTTGGATCTTCTTCATCTGAAAAGAGAAAAATAAATTGAGAAAAGGGAGGATTTTAAAAAAATAATAAAATTAATTACTAAGCAACATGCTTAATATGCAGAAAATAAATTCAAATGTAAATGAAAATCTCTATTATAAATCTGTACACTGCATATTATGTTACACTTATCTGAATACATTTCATGCAATACATACAAATGTATGCATGCTACCCTTATTTCTTAAAGAAGTTCACATTCTTGACAAATCTCTCAGAAGTATGTTCAAATCCTAAAGCTATGTAACATACTTCTGAGAGAATGAATTGGGAGGCAATAAAATAACATCTAACAAGAATAATACAGCCTGTCTAAGAACTGTAACTAAAATATCATTTAATATATTTTTTACCCCACTCTTAGATCTCCATACATTCTGAGTCTCATTTTCTACACACACACACACATAGAGAGAGAGAGAAAGAGAAGGGGGAATAAAATAAAACTAATATTGTAAAATCAAACTGTTAAATTACTGTAGTTATGCTTTCCTTCTAATAATCTGTATGAAATATTTTAGTAAAAAATATACCTCTAAGTATTTCCGGACATTTGATGTCTTTCCAATAGTCTAATATTATTTGTTAGAAACATTAAGTTATTGGTTTAATCACAGTTTAACCTAAGCTACTACTAATTGTGGCTGAATAAATCAGTTTTTCACCTTTGTTCTGTCTATAAAATTTTTGATTCAGCAACATGTATAACATTTGAATGAAGGTTTTATCAACTGCTAATTTCTATTCTCAATTAAAACAGAGAACAATGTAGAAATGCTTACTTCAGCATGCAGTATTGTAAGACTGAAAGAAAGTATATAACCTTTTTAAAGACCCATGATTGATTTTTTGGAAAAATAGTTTTCTTATGTAGGTTTGATTGAATTTTAAACATTAATAATGATTTATTTCATTTTTATTTGTTAATACAAAAGCTAAACTAAGCACACATTATTATAATCCACAAAATTGATGCTTCATACTTTTTTCATAGAATTAGAAAAATAGCCCAAGCTTCCATTTATATTATGTAATACATTAAAAGATTTTATAGTGCATACTTCCATTGATTAGGAAATATAGAAATAGACATCACAGAAGTTCCTTTTGGGTTTGAACAAATGTAATCTAAATTTGACTAAAATATTTTTCAATAAGAATTTAAAGTTGATAATTTTCTTCAGCTTATACTTTTTATATCTCATGTGTAACTGTTTGGACAGCATATTGTTCAGTTGGCTAAAATTATGCATATTTTTTCACTACATCACACGAGTTAGATAAAAAGAAAAAGCAACACCTCAAGAATACATATTAACATTTTGTGCAATAAAATAAATTTTAATTTTTTATTATGCAGCAGAATCTTATTACAAAACCCTAATCCATAGAACAGATATTATCATATACTCATGAAAATATTGTAGCTGAAGCTTGGGCTACAGATTCACTGTCTGTGATGGTGCTATTTATTTCAGCCAATATCGAATATGAACTAGGAAAAATTCAGTTTTATACGGAAAAAGCTATCATTTAAAAAATAGTCAGTTAAGCAGTAGCAAATATTCAGGCAATTTCTTTCACCAAGCATGATAAATAAGTTATCAAATTACATGTAAGTATATGAATAATTTTAGGCATTTACTTCAAAATGCACAGAAATAATTAAGAACACAATAAATACATAATTTATCTTGCTCTTTGTGAAGACAAAAGAAAAAAATACATATGCAAAATATATGCTCCTAAACCATTAAAAAAAAGGAAGACAAATAAAAAAATAAGATCTGCAGAAAGCTGTTCTTTCTCCAAAAGAAATGTATAACAGAACATCAATCGTAATAAAAATACTCCTATGGCATTAGCTACAAATAATGCAGAGTTAAAAAAATAATAATTAATAGTTATTTATTACAAAGCAAACAACATGACCATACTTGATAAATTAATTTATTCTTGCAAAAAATATTGAGCATGAAAAGAATTGGCTTGAAAAACAAATCTGATTTACAACAGCCATACAATGCACTGACATTTCTTCAAATCTACTACATCCTCTAACTATTTTTATTTCAAGTTTGTGTGTTTTCTAATAGAAATTTCAGCATTTCCTAAATATTTTCTTTTCTCATTCCTTCGCACTGCATAACATGTCATTTTTCCAAATCAGTTATATTTTATTTATTACCAGACATTTTAAGGTATGATATGACTCTTTATCAGTTATATTATCAATATTTGGCACATGTACTGTTGCTACTACTGCATTATAAACTTCCTGAGCACAACTACAGTATTCTGAATCATATTGCCTAGAAGTAAGGTTTATTAACAGAAAATTTATTTTTTACAGGTACCTTCCCATATAATAATCTTAAACACATATTTATAATATTTAACATGCCTATAAAATCACTTTCTGAACTAGTATATCAAAATAAAAAATATCCAGTTCTTTTTTGCAACTGAAATCATTAAATTTTTATCTAAATATTGTAATGGTGCAAATAGAATTTTTTATATCATTTTTCAATAGTGAATTTGAATCTGAATATTAGTCACACAGAGATGCTACAATATAATAAAACTAAATAATTTAATTTAGGGCTCATCTAATAAAGTGAGTGAACTAAGGGAAGACAGATCTTAAACCACAGGATTCTAAAAGATTTCTTGTTTACAGATGAAATGGCTCCTTTTTTGATAAGGTGAACATAAACTTCACATTAAAAAAAGGGGAGGAGGAAGAAAGAGAGAGAGGGGGAAAAAAAGAGATATGCTTATGGTTTTGAGCTCTCAAAATGATGCAGAAGAGATTCCCATTCTGGTGCAATTTCCTTAATAAATGTTAGTTCATATCTTATCAGCAAACCTTCAGTAACTTAGTAATCATAACTGGCTTAGTGTCTGAAGTACTATTTCTTATCCAAAACATTTTTCACCTTATCAAAAATTCCCAATGCTTTACGTAAACTATTGATATTTCCAACCTACCTTGCAGAAAAGAACTCAGCGGAAAAAATTTAATTTCTGAAAGATCTATGCACAACTAGCAAGCCACATGTTTTTATGTCAAGCAATTTCTCATGAACATTTTCTTTGCAATAATTTAGTAAATTCATTGAAGAAAATTAAATTAATAATTAGATAATTCATCAATATCTGTTGTATGTTATGAAGGAAAATGATTTAATTCATTTAAAAGGTTTTAAAAATAATCTGAAGTAAATGATTTCTTAAAAAATAACTGAAGTAATGGTAGGTATTTTGTTTATGCTGATATCTAGAACTTAACCCTTTGATCTATTTATACTTTTTCAACAACTTATCACAATGCTTCCTCAAAAGAAATTATGTAATTTGGGCACTTTATCCATTTGACCTAAAAGGAAAGATTTAAAATATGGTCCACAGCCATGATAAAATTTATGATAATTTGGTACTTATTACTCATCTAGAACTGCTTTACTATCAGAAAACATACTCTGGAAAAATATGCCCAACATTTACATAAGAACAAACAGGAACACTGCTTGCTAGAACAGGCAGAGCCCACAGGCATTTTGCTTTACCTAATGTCATCTGTTAATAGACATGATTGCAATGTTCGAGGATTTTCAATGAAATAAAATATTTCATTAGAGTCTTGCATATCAGTTTTACTTTTTATTTTTTCAAGGAAAGAGTGAACAGCAGTAACATATTTCTGAACCATTTTTGCATAATACACACAGTGTACCTTTGACAGAAGAATAAGTTACTTAAATACCCATATTATTTAAAACAAATGTTTTAGAACATACCATGCAACAAGCTTGTCCTTAATTATCAGGCTTCAGTTGTAAATATTATCAGAAAGCCAACATGCAAATTATGGAAATATCTGATGATCCAGCCATATTTTATCGAACCCGGTCTTTCTGTGAATCAGTTCGTAATAATAAACACAATTTTAATCATTAAAAATTAATTATTCACACAAGTTCAGAATTAAAATTCTCTTTTCTGTAATGAAACACAAACAGAATTTTTCTTCTTATGATTTGAGAAAGAAAACAATTTTTGTTTCAATGTGAACAAAAATCCATTAATTAGGACACACAAACTAGTTTATTAAAGTAATGTATCATTTTCACTACTTATGAAAGCTGAACATATGAAACATATGAAAGAGGAACTGATAAATGACTCATATGACTGAACTGAAATTGTAGTATTATAGAGAAAGATAACAGAACAGTTGTGTTTCTAAACAGAATAATTACAATAGCTCACTAATAAGAGAAAAGAAGAGGTTGATAAAATAGTGGGTACAATATCTTTTACAGGGGGAAAAATATTATATTAGGTATTCAATTGCTTTATTTGTTGGCTACTAACTAAAACATGAAATTTTTGTTAATTCAAAACATTTTAAGAAAAATCAAACTCAAGTCATAAGTCTGGGTAAATCAAAATGTCTTTTTGAAATTTTGATTTACCCAGACTTGTGACTTGAGTGAGAAACTTGCAATCTGACTCTAGTATTTAGTTAATTATATATGCATATATAAATAACACAGTTTTCAAAAGTTAAATGGTTAAGCAATATAATATTTTCAACTTTTAATATAAGAGTTTATTTACCAATAAAAAATAGCATAACTGAATTCTGTAAATGCCTATCTTAATATAGTAAAGATATACTCATAGATTTCTATGATCATTTTTTGAATATATTTACACTTAAAGAGAAACAATAAACTTACATTCAAACTTTCCATCTAGTAACATACACACTTTTATAATTTGCAGATGTGTCATAACTACCTTCTTATACATTTTATTAACCATTGCTAATAATTTTTCTCTACCCCAAGTGCCATAAATATATTTCCACTATTATGAATATAACCTCGGCATACATAGACTAATCTTACAACAGGTACACACAGATTAGAAATGTGGATACATAAAATGGATATTATTATTTGTAAGAACTCTTTTTTAAAGCATAACTGAAACAAAAATCTTAAATATTTAATTTTTTTCACAAAATAAAAACATAATTTTTCAGTTATATTATGAAATAAAAAATATTAATCCAAAAGAGGGAAAATTAACCATGAGATTTGATGAAATTTAATAAGAATTAGAGTAATATAGTTTCAAAATCTGACAAACTTTCTTTTTGAACTGCAAATATGAAAATAAATACAAAAATAAAAAATATAGAAATGTGCCAAATATAACAATAAGCTTGCAATCAAACTTTTGAAACTATAGGACTAAGTATTTGACTTACATTATGCCAATTCTCAGAGCCAAAATTTGTCCTCTTTTGAATTAAATTCATTGGCAAATTCCATTTATAAAAATACCATATTTGGAATATTAATTTCTTTAATAATTAGATGCAACACAGATATTTCTTCAAATTTCAAGGGGGCAGGAAGTTCATAAATTATATATTATCGAAATTCTGCAGAAATATTTTTCCTTCAGTCCAACTAGTCACTGATAACACAAAAGCTGCTATAAATCAGGTATATTATATTATTCAATTTTGAGCATTGCACTATGGTCTGTTACTTTAAAATAAGCACTACAATCATAATCTGTGTTATCAGCAACCCACAAAGAGGATTAGGAAATTTTTGTAAATTAGAGGACTTGACCACCTTTCGCAACAGTCATTACCATGGTCATGAGGCATGGCAGAAGAAGGAAAGAATGACCTTGAAGTGCCTAGTGTAAAACAACAAACTATAGAACAGCAAATTCTAAACAAAAACACATACACATAAACTATCACAAAATGTTAACACTGAATACAATAATAAAACTAATAAATTAAGATGTTTGATGTGTTAACATATGTCTTTTACAACTTGAATTGGTTGAGAAAGTCACAAAACAGATTTTGCATGCATATGGTTTCTCTCGCGAATGCACATACGTGTGAACTTTCAAGTTATATTTTCGGTTAAATGCCCTTGGACATAATTCACATACATATTGACGTTCCTTTGTATGTGATCTTTTGTGCTTTTTCAAGTTTGAATAATCATTTGTTACATATGGGCAGATGTCACAAAGAAGTCTTCTTGAACTAGATCCTCCCACACAGAAGTAACCCAAATGATCAGCCACTGAAATAAAAATAGGCATAAATACATTAAATTGAGCTAATAACTACTTCTCCTCAAAATGGAAGTTACTGTAACAACAAACTATTATAGATCTTCATGGAATATTATGTATACTTCAATATTGGAATACAAAAAACAGTTTCAAAATTTATTTTAAAAAATAATGATTTGCTTTTCTTATTGATAAATGAGTGCTTTTATCATCAGTGACTGTGAATATTGAATAAAAACTTGAAATTTAAAATTTAAAGGAGCCTTTCTTAGAACACAAATGATTTGTAAAATTTTTGAATTTAAGAAACAAATACTTTTACATACGCATTATAATAAAGGAAATTAAAATTTTTACACATACTTTTGATGCTAGCATTCATTTTTAATACAGATACATTAATCTAGCATTACATGTAAACTATTAAGTTGAAGTATTCTGAGTACCTTTTTTCATATTATTTTTTTAATATACTGTTATAGTCATCTTGTTCTACTTGACATGGCAACCAGAGAGCCTGCTGCATTATTTGTGTCAGCTTGTTTTTTCATTTAAGTGATTTAATTTGACCATATAAGAGATGTTCAAATAAAAGTGTAATATATGGAGCCACTGTTCACCATAAGGGGATTACAACAGATTATATATTAAAGTCATTATAAATCATTGGATATCACTTCCTACATTCAGTCATAATATGGAATGTTTATTCTTTCCACAAAAGCAGGAGAAGATTACTACATTCTGAGTATCATTCTATTACAAGTTCTATTAAGTATCATTCTATTACAAGTTCTATTAAGTATCATTCTATTACAGTTGTTTGGTCACTGTATGGAATCTTATATCTTTGAGAAAAATTTTTAAATTCTGAAGTCTTGAAAAATGCATAACTGACAAGTCACTTGGCATTCATTTGATATGATCCTGCAGTTTAACATGTCTGAAAATTTACTGTTCTTGGAAGTACAATGTTTCTTTAGGATTAAACAATATCTAATTGTGTTAAAGAAAGTCTTTATGGCAGCTATTCGTTGAGCAATAGATTCTTATGATCAAAATAAAACAATGACATTAATTTGTCTTACAGATGAATGAGCTTTCTTAAATAGCAGCAATGCTGAGTGTTTTCACCACATGCTCGTGCATTTGCAGAGGCATAGAAACATATCCTTAGGTTTCATCACCAGTAACAACTTTTGAAAAAATTCTAATCCAAAAAATCAGTCTCATGAAAAATGTTCCAGTGCTATACATATTATATTACTTCAGGTGCTGGTTATGATCATAAGACATGCCTGAAAATGGGTACTAAATTGACTAAAAGTGAAAAAATGACCTCCCACCGGCCACTGAATACTTTAGGACAAACTCAGTGCAGCATAGCCATATCACTAGAGCTAATATACTGCCTCTACAAATTGTTACTTTTATTTGTTTCATATTAAAAACCCCATATTTGTGAAGAGGAAAACATTGTAGGAAATTCAAAAACTGCTGAGAGAATTATATAACCTCGATAACAAAAGTTTATTATATCTTATTAGCTCACATTTCTGTTAAAGACTTCTGCGTAAACTGAAGTACAGTACTTCTCACAAAATATGAAAAGCAACAGGCTGTTTGAATGCTGATAGTCTGATAAAATATTAGGCCAAAACATACAGAAGTAAGACATTAAATAATTTTCATATACTTTTTTAAAGAAAGCAGTTTGAAACTTAAAGACACAAAACACTTTTAAAGGCTAACTATCATACTCAATCCACATACTATCAGCAATAATAAAGAGTTCTAACTGCACACATTTAACAAAGTATAAAGTTATGAACAGCTACATTGCTCGGCTATTTGCTAAGGAACAATTGCTTTCTGCTTAGCTACATCATCCAATATTGCAGTGAATAAAATGCAAAAGAAAATGAGCTTGTAATATAAAATAATTAACAGTAAGACAATGCATTAAAACTGTGTTAATATTTATGGAAGTTATATCACATACTTTTCCACAGAAATAGTGCCACTTACAGCCAGTTGCAAAATGCCCCCTTAACATTATTTCAGTAAATACAATCATCAACAAGTAGTAGTCAAAGAATGCCAGCTCATAAATGAAAAAGTTTGCTAAATCCTGAAAAATAGCTCTATATGCATGGCAAATGTTATAGATCGAGCACAACAGCAAGAGATGATTCGCAAACTTCCATTTTGGTGAAATGACATAGAAATGCCACATTTGTTCAAATTGTTGCACACCTTACCTTATCAGTGCTAGAGAAATTTATTTGGCTGATTCAACCAACTATCATCAAAAGAATTTTGTTGCGTTTACATGCAGAAACATACTTTCTGTTAGCACTGCATCATCATTTAACAAAATCCCAATTCACAGTAAAAAGAGATTTTGGACCTCAGGTGGCATGGTAAGAAAAGGAACATGCTATAATCAACAATATCTGCAAGAAACTGATATTATAGTTAAGGGAAAACGGTGTGGGTAAACATCACGTATGATAAACTGAAACATCAATATACAGTATCTTTTCAGCAGGATCAGTCATGGCAGAAATATATTATACAAATAAACCTTTAACCTTTTTCATGGAACAGTAACCTGCTACAGTTGAAATTCATTGACAAAGTGGTAGAAAGCATATAAAAGAAGAATGGTCTTCATGTCCATATCGCCACCAAAAAAACCTTCAGTGTTGTCAATTTCAGGATTATATTTATATAGTGCTGCTCATCATATGTATTAGAAGATTTAATTTGAAATTTCGGAACTAATATTGCTTGTTCTTATTTCACAGCTTTTGATTTACAGTGCTTAACCATACAAGACAGACGTCTGGACTAAAGCACTAGAGAGTAAGGATTTCACTTGCACACCCTGCTCTACATATTCTTCATATACTAGTTTTATCAAGAATGCTTGGGACACTCTTGATAGTTGTATAGCACAGAGAAAAACACCAAAATGTATGAAAAGGGAAAAAAAATCTACAATGAATCTGAAAAATCTTGGAGTGAGTATGCACCAAACGAATAAAAAGTTACGTATTGGAGTTTGATGAGCTCATACTACCTACAGATATTATGAGGTCCGTTGCTGTACTCATGGAAGGTTTCGTTCTTCCTGATTACTCAATAATGATATTGAGATTTCTTCTTCTTTTTGATAGTCTGCTCTTTTCACTAGCTTTAATTTATTAAAGACATTACAATTCAGTTATTATACACTTGGTACATTTCATTTCCTGTAACACTGCCCACCATAAATCAAGCCAAAAAAAGCTTACTGCTCCTTAGTGACTTTCAAGCAGTCTAGTAGGCAAATCTAGATGGGAGAAGTCAAAATATGTGAGATAAATTATATATTTCTAGTCCGCTGATATTTAGTTTTCTACATGATCCCTGCTACAGACTATTAAGTACTATGAAAAGTTAAGTATAAATTTAATATGTAGAATTACTTAGGAAGAAAATAATCTTAGGACAAAATACGTAGGAAGAAACAAATCAGAACGGGGAAAAAAAAAAAAAAAAAAAAAAAAAAAAAAAAAAAGAGAATGTACTTTCAATAATTTATTCCCATATATATTTAAGAAGATGTGTGTTCAAAACAAAAAAATTAAATTTTTTATTAATGCAAAGAGTATATGGATTACTTAATTTATAACTGATTAACAAATATTTTATATGATACATAAATATTTATGTATAAAATATTCTCCAATAATTTTGTAATTACTCAGATAAAATTCAGCAAACTAACATTCTGCAACTAAAACTTTATGTCTTACTTTAAAATACTAGCTGACGAAAATAGAGTGAAAACCTACATCTAAGCACTCCTTATTTATGTACTCAACAGAGTTAACTCAGATACACCGTACTAAATTTTTTCTGTGAACCTGAGTCAATACATTCAAGAATTTTTCTTCATATGTGAATACAACCATAGATATTTGGTACAATTTTGAACATATTATTTTTCACTTTAGAAAATTTGCTGTCAGCACTTTTAAGCAATTGCTTTGCTCACACACCTTTTTTGCTATTGCCAGAACAAGGGGCCTTATTTTCCCTTCAGTAGGCTTTAATGAATCACAGCCGTTAAGCTTGTATTTATATTTCATGATTACACATTCGTTTATATTATTATATAATACTTTTGAAATTTATTTTTACATAAACTTGTCACGGATAGTAATCAAAACTTGTCAGAATTTACCACAAAGAGGTAAATACTGAGGGGGGGGGAACATAGTTTTTTTAAATTGCCTGAGTTAGTTCAGCAATACATGTAGTTTAGTCAATGTAAAAAAAGAAAAAAATATATTTGATTTTACAAGATATAATGTTCTTTTATATATGTAAATTAAAGAGTAAAAAAGTCAGTGGAAAAACAAATTTTTCCATCTTCTGAATTTTTATTGGTGCATTAAGGCATTAATATCTGCAAAATTAAATACTAATAATTTGTAAAATCTTGTAAACACATTTTTCTTTGGAATTACTTGCTATGATTCATACAAAAATACATTAATTACACTATTAAAAAAGCACACGTAACTTAAGAAAGGAGTTCGTTTTCACACATCCTTTCTCCTATATAAAATAAGCATTTAAGTAATTAAATTAATTTCCCTTTCAAAATAAATATTTTACTAAGCTTATGCTAATACTACTAGA